TGTTTTGTTTTGTTTTTTCCCTTTTTGTCTGGCTCTGCACTCAGGAGTTACTCCTGGCGGTGCTCAGGGGATCCTATGTTATGCCGGGGATCAAACCTGGATTGGCCACATATAAGGCAAACGCCATCCCCTCTGTGCTGTCACTCCAGCCCCCTCAGAGCCCATTTTACAGAGAGGAAGAGTAAGGCTCACAGAAGAGCTCTATCCAGTGAGCACACGCGGGGCTCCAGCCCATCCAGCTCTCCCTCGTTTCCCCTGAGCTGGGGGCTCCCTCCAGGCTCTGCAGCCTGGGAGCCCACCCCCCACTGGACTATGTGCTGTTCAACTCCTCACCTAGGCTGTGGCTTTTCTGACGGGCCCCAGGCCAGTTCTGCAGGGACTGGTGGAATCTGGTGACTACAAGAGAGCAGAAAAACGCCCGTGAGTGCCCCCCCCCCCCGCAAACCGTCTGTGACTCTGTGTCCCATGCAGGGATCCTGAGTGGGAAATGGGCTCAGAGAGGGTGTGTAGGAGGGACAATGTCACACAGCAGATGAGATGGAGTCAAAAGCCTATGCTTTTAGAGAACTAACGTATCAGAGAGAGAATCCAAAGGGACCTCAGACTCAAGCCCACGGCCCCTTGGACTCACTCTGGGCCAGGATGGTCACTAGGAGCAGGAAGACGCCCCGGTTCGATTCCCAGCATCCCAAAGGGTCCCCCTAGCACCGCCAGGAATAATTCCTGAGTACAGAGCCAGGAGTAACCCCTGTGCATCGCCGGATGTGAGCCCCCAAGAAAAGCAAAAAAAAAAAAAAGAAAGAAAGAAAACCTGACTCCAAGCCCACGCCCCTTGAACTCACCCTGGACCAGGATGAACACGAGGAGCAGGAAGATGCCCAGAGAGGTGAGAAGCTGCAGGAGGTCCTTGCTGACCCAGGCCGGACGCCCTGCGGGAGTGGCCGAGGGTAGGCTTGAAGCTCAGGCTCACAGTGTCTCTGCCAGACCCGCCTCCCGGGCACCCTCTTCCCCAGGCGGCTGACCTACCCGAACAGAACCTCACGGTCTGGGGCTGCGGAACCTCATTCTCAGCCACCTTTAAGTTGACATAGATCCTTTCTGAAGGGGACAGAGACGGCTGTGAGTGCCACAGTTGGGCAGGGGCTTTCCACCCCGGCACCCAGGACCCAGTGGCACAAACCCACTAGCCCTGCCTGCCTTACCGGAATCATCTGGCTCCTCGTAGTCAGAGTTACTGTCCATCCTGCAGTGCTCCCTGCTCCTTTCCACCTCCTCCTCTTTCTCCATCATCTGCTCTTCCTCTTCTTCCTCTCCCTCTTCCTCCTCCTCTTCCTCCTACTCCTCCTCCTCCTCCTCACTGGCTAGTTTTAGAGCTCAGGGGTTGCCTCGTGGCTCCTTACCTTGTCCGTGCACACGAAGAGAAGAACAAGAAGCCAATCGAACACCACACTTCCGCCCGCCGAGGAGGGAGGAGGGAACTTTATGTCATTGCGGAGACGTTTCTCAGCGACTCTGATGGCAAGCGCAGCCCGGGCCCCAAGCCCCCGGTCTTAATCCTGTGATCTTCAGATTATCAGATCCTCAGCTTCCTCTCCAGAACGTGACTCTGCTTCACTCTCTGATGATGAAGTCTGACAAATCAATGCCCAACAAGACCTCATGCATTTGCTGATTCCCTCCCACTTAGAGGGAAGAACTGTCCATCGCAATCCTCTGCTCCCTGGGGAAGGGCTCTCGCCAGGTACCAGGAGGACAGACAGATGGGTGATAGGTATATGAATGGATGGATGGACAGAGAAATGATGGATGGGTGGGTAGGTGAGAGGATGAATGGATGGGTGGGTGCATGGATGTATGTATGGATAATGAGTGGATGAATAGATGAGGGATGGATGAATTGATGGATGATGGATGGATGGGTGGGTGGGTGGATGGATGAATTGTTGACGGGTGATGGATAGGTGGGTGGATGGATAGATGGAGGATGAATGGGTGAGTGCCTGGATGGCCAAATGGTGATGAGTGGGTACGTGGATGGGTGGGTGTGGAATGACAGACGGACCTGAAGAACAGACATTCAAATGAAATCTCATGGGAGGGATACTGGGATCAGTGGTGGTGGAGAATGGGTACTGGTGGAGGGATCCGTGTTCAATCATTGTATAAGTGAAATCATAGCACAAAAATGTGTAAGTCTACAACTGTACCTCATGGTGTTTCACTAATAAAACTTAAAAAAAATGGTTTAAGATAAGTATAGAAGAGTCTTACCAAAAAAAAAGTTCACACCTACTGTTACCGACTCGGGACAACCCCAGGTGGGAATAGGTTTTGTGCCTTGGCCTGTTTCCCCAGGTGGCTCGGTTGCCGCCTTCCTCCTGAGACCACTGGACAGTCAAGTTTGGGCCGGCAGTGAAGAGACAGGCTGGGCCTTATGGGATGGGGGTGGAGCCGGTCCTGTCCTCCCCGCCCCAATGAGACCCCGAGTTGCCGCCCAAAATGACCTCTCTGGCGCCTGATCAAGCTACTTAATGATAATGATCTTGTGGGGGCCATATGCCAGAGGAACAAATCTCAGAACCCAGCAGGTTTTCGCAGAAATTCCTCCAGATTTAATTGTTAAAATGTCGGAATTCCAAAATTGTGCGGCCACTGCTGTTGCCACGCAACATCATATGCTATTCAAAACCAGCAACAGAAAACAAATTGTCTGCAGTTGCCTTTTCAACAGATCTGAGTCTTGGGGCAAAATCCCAAATAATAATGGTGGATCTGGTGTTGAAATATTGAATGTAATCAAAGTAGAGAGTAATGTGGAAATAATCTGCCCCACAGGTAGGGAGAGGTTGTGGGATTGGGGGTATACTGGGTTTTTTTGGTGGTGGAGAATGGGCACTGGTGTAGGGACGGGTGTTTCATCATTGTATAACCGAGACTTAAACCCAAAAACTTTGTACCTGCTCTCAAGGCGATTCAATAAATACATTTATGAAAAAGAAAAAAAAAGTAAGGTGGAGTTCATGCCCAATTCAATCAGCCTAATCAAAGGTTGAATAAATAGCAATACTCCTACATAAAAAAAGTGCACACCTACTGAAATGATCCCTGGGCAATTAAATACTCAACAGTAGAGGAAAATACGAAAAATATGCAAATAGACATTGTCCTAGAAAATATCACGGGAGTCTAGAGTCATAATACAGGAGCTAGGGAGTTTGCCTTGCATACGGCTTACCCAGATTCGATCCCTGGCATCCTTTATGGTTCCCTGAGTTTACCAGGGGGGATTCATGAGCCCAGAGTCAGGACTAACCCCTGAGGGTCGCTGGGTGTGACCCCAAAACCTAATATCTAATATATATGTGTATATATATTTAGTCCAATGGTATCTGCTTGCTCTAGGAACATGAAGAGCATCAAATCATTCTTTCAGGGCCTTTTTTTGGGGGGGAGGGTGGTCAAACCTGGCGATGCACAGGGGTTACTCCTGGCTCTGCACTCAGGAATCACTCCTGGCGGTGCTCAGGGAACTATATGGGATGCTGGGAATCGAACCAGGGTCGGCTGCGTGCCAGGCAAACGCCTTACCCACGGTGGTATCACTCCAGCCCCTCATTCAGGGTCTTGACGAAGAAGTTCGACCATCTCGTAGGTGGGCAGCCAGGCGTTCTTTTGACGTCCCGTGGAATCAACTGGGCTGCATCTTCACTGTCCTCCTGTTGTTCATCGATTTGCTTGAGCGGGCCCAATAACGTCTCCATCATGAGACTTGTTGTTACTGTGTTTGGCATATCGAATACGTCACGGGGAGCTTGCCAGGCTCTGCCGTGCAGGCGAGATACTCTCGGTAGCTTGCCGGGCTCTCGGAGAGGGGCAGAGGTATCAAACTCGGGTTGGCCATGTTGGCCGCTTGCAAGGTAAACGCCCTACCCGCTGTGCTATCACTCCAGCCCATGAACCATCTTATAAAATAAAAATTTAAAAAATGATTAGCACAGCGGGTACGGCGTTTGCCTTGCATGCAGCCGACCCGGGTTCGATTCCTCCATCCCTCTCAGAGAGCCCGGCAAGCTACCGAGAGTAAGTTCCCTGTGGTGTATTCGATATGCCAAAAACAGTAACAACAAGTCTCACAATGGAAACGTTACTGGTGCCTGATAGAGGAAAATCAATGAACAATGGGAGGACAGTATACTACAGTGACAGTAAAAAAAAGCAAGCAAGCAAGCAAGCAAGAAAGAAAGAAAGAAAGAATGAATTGGATGTGTAGGTGTGTAGGTGGATGGACTGATGGATAGACGAATGATGAAGGATAGGTGAGGGGTTGGATAACCCCTCACAGGTTATAGACAGATGGATAAACAGTCAAGACAAAGTCTGGTAGATATATGTCCACACAGGTGTATTGTCATCAGCTTTACAAAGCACCTCAAAATGGTATGCAAGAAAGCAAATTCCCGCCCCTTGAGGAAGAAAGACATTGAAAGAAACAGTGTGGTGGGGCTGGAGAGATAGGACAGCGGGTAGGGCGTTTGCCTTGCACGCAGCCGACCCGGGTTCGATTCCCAGCATGCAATATGGTCCCCTGAGTACTTCCAGGAGTAACTCCTGAGTATAGAGCCAGGAGTAACCCTTGTGCATCGCCAGGTGTGACCCGAAAAGCAAAAAATTTTTTAAAAAAGAAGAAGAAAGAAACACTGTCGTAGCAAAGAGCAAATGTCATCGACAAAAGCACTTGAAGCAGCGGCGAAAGCACAGACACTGTGTTCAACGACGACAGTATCCAGTGTGTGACTTTATTCAGGGGATGCCACAGGGGCCGAGGGGAGGAAGTGGAAACCAAGGGAGGGGGTGACCTCTAGCCGATGGGGGGGCAGGACATGGGCAAGGGGATCTCGGGATCTCTGGGGATCTCCAGGGTCCAGGAGGAGGAAGCCACAGTTGGGGCAGGAGTGCCTCACGGATCCCCAGAGCAGCCTGACCGAGGGGGACAATGGTCATCACGGTTGGGAGCAGGACACCGCGGGCTTCTCACAAATCCACGGCTTCTCTTGACTACACGGGATATCGTTCCAGCCATCATTGTACAATTCCACACAGTCCTCATCGCCTTCGTTGTTGGGTTCTCCTGGTTTCCAGAAGCTGTGAATAGCAGTGATGCAATGAGCCCCCCATGGCCTGTCCTCAGCTCCAACCGAGCCCACCTGCCCCGCTCCGTGAGGGGCCGCTCTCTGGCACTTTGCAGCCAATTTCCAACAGGAGGGGAGAAATTCCAAGGCAGGATTGTTAATATAGTTGGTGTCAGGGCCACGTTTGCCAGTGCTTACTCCTGGCTTACGCCTAGCTCTGTGCTCAGGGATCACCCTTGGTGGGGCTCAGGACATTATCAGTGGTGCTGGGGACTAAGCCCAGGTGGCCACATGCAGGGCAAGTGTCTTCCCCGCTGTCCCATCACTCCAGCTCCAAAGAAAGGGTTGTAAAAATTTATTCCTATAAGGGGCTGGAGAGATAGCCCAGCGGGGACGGTTCTTGCCTCGCACGCAGCAAACTGTGGTTTCATCTCTGGCATCGCATCTTGGCCCCTGAATCCCACCATGAATGATCCCTGGTCACAAAACCAGGACTAAGCCTTGCCCACCACTGGATGTGGCATGAAACAAAGAAATCAAGTATCTGGGGCCAGAGCAATAGCACAGCAGGTAGGGCATTTGCCTTACACTCGACAGACCTAGGTTCTATCCCTGGCATCCCGTAGGGTCCCCTGAGCACCGCCTGGAGTAATTCCTGAGTGCAGAACCGGGAGTAACCCCTGAGCATGGCTCGGTGTGACCCAAAAAGCAAAAAAAAGAAATCAAGATTCAGATAACATGGGAGTAAATGGCTGATTCCTGGGCCTGGCTCTTGAATGGGCCTCTCTGTCGTGACCCCGGGCAACTGGGTCCGAGCCACCTCCTTAGCCCACCTCCACCCCCATCTCCCAGCCCATCCGGACCCACGTGGAGGAGGTGGGAGTCGGGAGATCTCTGCAAAGCCAGGCAGGGCAGAGAAGGCACCACCAGGCGGGCAGCGTGAGCACGTGTGGACCGAACCACCTCGGAATAAAAGTTCAGTGGGTGCCGGGGCTGGAGCAATAGCACAGCGGGTAGGGCGTTTGCCTTGCACCTGGCGGACCCAGGTTCGATTCCCAACAACCCATATGGTACCCCGAGGACCGCCAGGAGTAATTCCTGAGTGCAGAGCCAGGACTCCGACCTGAGCATTGCCGGTGGGCCCCAGACACCCCCAAAATAAACAAACAAAAAACAAATGGCAGCACCCCAAGAGAGAATCAGAATAGCCCCACCTCCACCCCCTGAGGGTGGTCCCAGGATTCCACTGTTCCCCCTACTTTCACAGAGGGGCTCTCAAGCTGAAGGTGCGGCTCCCTCATACTCTTTGAGGCCATTTTGGGGGGATCACCTCAGTTGGGGGGAAGGTTTCCTGAGTGTCCCCCACCCCAACACCCACCCCGGCCAGTGTGTCTGTAGATTCACCTGATATTGAGGGGGCTTCCGTCTATCCACTGCCAGGACCCCTCATCGTGGTGGTCGCTGAGGCCAATCCACAGACCCTTCTTCTGCACTTCCCAAAATTGTAGGAATTTCTGGAGGTGGAAGGATCCAAGGATAGGGGTCAGGGGGAGGGGCGTCTGAAGGAAGACCCCCAAACGCTTCCCTTCCCTATCCTGTTCCCAGAGCTGTTCTTCTGGGGGCCAGTCTACATTGAACCTCCAAACTTGCCCTGCGCGTGGAATCGCATGTGTGTTTCAGTAGGACACGTGAGGGGCTAGAGTGATGGGCGTTTGCCTTGCATGTGGCCGACCCCGGTTCGATTCCCAGCATCCCACATGGTCCCCTGAGCACCGCCAGGAGTAATTCCTGAGTGCAGAGCCAGGAGTAACCCCTGCACATCCCAAAAGCAAAAAGCAAAAAATAAAATAAAATGAAATAAAATCAGTAGCAGGTGTGAGAGCATGTGTGTATATCGTGAGCAAAGACCTCATGAAGACCTCCTGTCTGTCCAAAAATAAGTAAATAAATAAAAACTCCCAGGGCAGAAACAATAGGCAAGCCGTTGCTTTGCACACAGCTGACCAGTGTTCGATCCCCAGCATCCCATATAGCCCCCGAGCACCGCCAGGAATAATTCCTGAAGTCAGAGCCAGGAGGAATTCTGGCGATGCTCAGGGTGTGACCCAAAAGTTAAAAAAAAAAAACAACCAAAAAAATAAACAAACCAAAAAGTTCCTTTTCTCTATGTTTTCTCTGGGGGACTCGCCTCATGAGCCCGCCGCTTCTTACTCCAGGAAGACTTCCCTGAGTGACTCTCCCCTAACCACATCCGAACCCCTGAGTCTCCGAATCGCAGGAGAGAGAGGAAGGTGGGAGGGTCTTGAGAGCAGCCAAGGACGCCCGGCCAACACACCGCCTCCGGGGCACTGTTGACGATCACCAGCTGGGAATTCTTGCGCCGACAGGCGGACATAGCATGGAGCCAATCTCCTGCGGACCTGGAGTACAGGTAGCAGCTTCCCCGAAAGTGCTCCCAGCCCCAAGGGCAGGCACGGCAGAGCCTCTCTGGGGAGGAGAGAAGGGGGTGGGTCAGATCTCAGAGACTCGGGCCTGGGGTCAGCTCAGCGCGTGGGACCCGCAGGGAACAGCTCCGACCCACACAGCCTTCCAGACACCTTTATTTTATTTTATTTTATTTTATTTTTGGATTTTGGGTCTCACCCAGCGATGCTCAGGGGTTTCTCCTAGCTCTGCACTCAGGAATTACCCCTTGGCGATGCTCGGGGGACCCTATGGGATGCTGTGATTCAAACCCGGGTTGGCCGCGTGCAAGGCAAATGCCCTACCCTCTGTGCTATTTCTCCAACCCCTTCCAGACACCTTTAGCCTAGAAAATGGGAGCAGGGCTGGAGTGACAGCACAGCGAGGAGGGCGTTTGCCTTGCACGCGGCCAACCCCTGGTTCAATTCCCACCATCCCATAGGGTCCCCAAGCACCGCCAGGAGTAACTCCTGAGTGCAGAGCCAGGAGGAACCCCTGTGCATCGCTGGGTGCGACCCAAAAAGCAAAAAAAAAAAAAAAGGAAAAGAAAACTGGAGCAGGGCTGGAGCGATAGCACAACGAGGAGGGCGTTTGCCTTGCACGCGGCCAACCCGCGTTCGATTCCCAGCAACCCATATGGTCCCCGAGCACCGCCAGGAGTAATTCCTGAGTGCAGAGCCAGGAGTAACCCCTGAGCATCGTCGGGTGAGACCCAAAAAGAAAAATAGGAAAAAGAAAAAAGTGGGAGCAACCCTTCCGTCCCAGCACCCCACACACAGCCCCTCCAGACTGGGACCTGACTCGAACCTACCCAGGGAGTCGTTTATCTGGGCAAGCTGCTGGTTGATCAACTGAAGACCGGCCTGAATCTGTTGCTCACGCGCATCAGCTGCAGACGAGGACTCAGAGATTAAGCACCAACGATAGAGGCTCCCTCCCGCCCCCCCCCCCCAGAGCATGCTGGGTGGGTCCCACAGACACCTCGAAGCCCATTTTACAGATGAGAAGAGTGAGGCTCACAGAGCCGCATAGCCCAGTGAGCTCTCGGAGTCCAGCACACAAACACCCCCCAGCTTTCCCCCGGAGCTGGGTGGTCCCTCCAGGCGCTGAGCTGGGAATCCCCCCACGCTGGGATGTGTAATACCACTCCTCACCGGAGCTCTGGCTCCTCTGATGGGCCCCAGGTCAGCTCTGCAGGGTCTGGTGGACCTTGGAGACTACAAAGCAACAGAGAAACCCCCTTGAGTGGCCCCTGAACCGTGTGTGTGATGCCACCTCACGACTGGGGGTTGGAGAGAGCCGGGACACAGAGCTGCCTGCCATGGTCAGGAAATCGGGCTCAGAGAGGGTGTGTCAGAGCTGCAAGATCACAGAGCATGGGACACAGAGCCCAAACCTCAGCATTTGGGGGGACCAGGGAGAAAAGGGTCAAGGACATCCTAGCGGGAAAAGCCAATGTGAGCCTGGACACACAGTTCCCAGGACTCACCGTGGGCCAAGATGATGAGGAGGACCAGGAAGAAGATCAGGCTGATGAGAAGCTGAAACAGAGACAGGCTGCCCCGGGGCAGGCGCCCTGCGGAGTGGCCAGGGGCAGAGCTTAGGCCAACATTCTTTGTTCCTATTCCAGAGACGCCTCCCAGAACCACCCACCCTTCGCCAGGTGGCTGACAGACTCCCTACCTGACTGCCTCCTCACGTTCTGGAATATTCCAGCCTCCTCCTCAGCCATGTTCACAGCAGAGGATACTATCTCCCGTCTCGTAATTGAGGCTGAGAGGACGGCATCAGGGGAGAATTGAGTGTTCAGTCTCATAATAGGTGTATGAGACGGTCATTGGGTGGGATAAGGCCCCCCCGCGCCCCTTTGTCGTGTCCTCTGTGGAATGTGTGTGTGAGTTAATGAGCAGTCAGAGGCGTCCTCGCCTCTGATTCGAGTCTGTGGTTCCACGGCTAGGCACCCTTAAGGTCCCTGAAAGGCTATGAAATCCGAGTGTGCTGTCTGCGATTCCACGGGGAACATATGGTCTATGGTGGTGTTGACTTAGACGTCGGTCGCAAGTCACCTTTGGCTGATCCACTACGGGCAAGTTTCCCACTTTGCAGACAATCACCTGACTAGGCCCCTTTGTCGGGCCTCCCCCATGTCTCGGGTCTGTTTCTCCCAGGTATTCACGAGGGGGACAGTCTTCCAGCAACCCATTTATGTTGCGTCTTCTTTCTCTTTCATGTGTCTTTCTCCTTCTTTTTTTCTCCTCTGTAGTTTTCTCTTTTTCCCTCTTTTGTTCACTCTTGTCCCTTGGTCCACCATCAGTAGTCATAGGGCAGACCCTGACTAAGAGGGAATTGTTTAAGACTTCCCTTAAACATCGCAGAAGTCAAGGTGAAGAAAAAGGACCTTGTTGATTTCTTCCTACTTCTTGAAAATGTGTGTATAAGAGATGCTGGGGGCATGTGGAGACTGTAAAATCCCCGCCTGACCTTTTTCCTATTGGAACCTTATCAATGGACACTGGGGCCGTGTGGGAGACTGTCTTAAATCCCCGTCCTGGCCTTTTACTACTGGCAATGAGACTTAGAGACCTTCTTAAAGGGCTACTGGCCCCTCTCCTCCACAGTCACGCGGCCCTTCTAGGACTCCCTCTATTCTCTCCCAACTCCCATCAGCCCGAATTTGTTTTGGGTGGCCCGGTTATTGGGCCGATCTCTCTTCCTCTCAATTTCTCAGTCACTTTCTCTGCTCTTTACCTCCCCCCCCCCCCCCCCGTTTCCTTTTCCTGGCGGTTCCTCCCTGCGGGCACGGGTGGAGCACTTAAAAGCCTCTAGGGCACTTGTCGCTAGAAGTCTCCTGTGACAGGATGAGGGGGTCACAGCCACGATTCCCAGAATAAAATCACGTCCCCCGCAAAAGAAAAACTTTGCCTTGTTAGGTACTCGTAAGCCAAGCACATCCACGCCCCCACATTTGAAAACGCCGCCTTTCTCTCTCCCTCTCCCTTCCCCTCCTTTCTCACTACCAGACTGTGGGAAGTTCTCTTATAATTGAAAAAAAAAAACTTGGGCCCCTATGGGGGAGTGCCTGAGTGAAGCACTGCTAATTAGTAACTTGATCTGTCCCTCCGCTAATAACTCTCCCCTTATGAGCCTCCACAGGAATGCAGGTGTCCACAGCTGTAAATCATAGGGAGCTCAAAACCAGATGTCTGAGTTATGAGATACCCGCTAGTCACAATGCCCATGATTGGGAGGACATATTCTCTGGGTTCTCATCTGTTCTGGAAAACCTGGCCCCAGGAGAAGACTTGGAAGAACTAAACCCTCTGCAGGGGAAAATCACGTGCACGCCCTTTGGGCAAATTCGGGAATCCCAATGTGACTGTGGTGAGTGTGGTGCGCACCAGTGTGAGAGGAGGACCGGTCCGAGCAAGTGTAGGAGTGTGATCAGTGCGTGTGTCCCTAGTGTGTGTATTGTCTTATAATCTTTCTCCTGGTTCTGTTTATTAAGATTGTTTAACATGGGTCAGAATCGATTGACCCACAGAGCTTTAATTCTTGATCAGTTCTCTGAGATCCACAGGAAAGCTCAGGATCTGGGCTTGAGGATCAAGAAAGGTAAGCTTGGCATTTCTTGTTCATCAGAATGAACTTCGTTTGGTGTGGATTGGCCCCCACAAGGTTCCTTCTCACCAAACCTTGTGGCTCCAGTAAAAGAGGTAATCTGTAGAAAATCTGCTCTGAAGGTATGCTCCCTTGGAAATCTCTAGGGCCGATGGGGAAGGAATGTGATAACCTCTGCGTGAATGGTCTCTGCAAAGAGGGACCCCTCCTTTGCCTGTTTTGCGTCACCCTCCACTAGGAGGAAACCCACTAGTGAGAAGGACTCTGGGAAACTGAGGCAGACCAATTTCCAGGCATAAGATCCTTTTCCCCACCCAGTCTCAGTCTAACCAGAAGATCAGCTAGAGGTCAATTGAAATGCTAATAAAGGCAGTTCAGATGTAAGGCAAAAAAGAAAAAAAAGGGGGGTGTAAAAGGCAGGTAAGAGGCCTGAGAAGAGCTGCAAGCCAGCGAAAAGCAAAAAGCAGGGAAGAGGCAGCAAGCTAAGCAAGTCAGAACTGTTTTTTTAAGAGGCAAAGTTTTTAAGAGCACAGCACTAGGTTCAGCGGGCACACAGCTGTGGGTCTGCCCAACGCCAAGCCCGCCCAGGTGGAGACGTCCAAATCCAATGAGCCTCTGAGTAAAGGCCAACTTACAGGGGGTTATAGTCCCCTCGGGAGAGGCCAAAGTGATAGACCTGGAGAAAAGTTTTGCCAAGGAACCATCCTTTTTCATAGATTATTGCTTGCAATTGGAAAAACATCCTAGGAGCTTCCAACTAGGTAGTTTAGATAAAGAGTATCTTGCTGACCTCTGTAACACCATGTGGCCTGAGTATAGTGGGGAAAGATAGTCAGTGAATGGCAGTTTGCATTACCAGATTATTTTGGAGTCAGATCTCTGCAGGTAACAAAAGAAATAGGAGTATCAAAGCAGAGGAGGCAGGAAAGTGTAAGATCTTATGATTAACTGTTTGACATCAGAAACAAAGAAGTGTGTCACTAAGGCAGCCTATTCCCATGTCTGATAAGAATCTCCCTGCCTCAGAATTAGCCTTGGCCAAAATATGGTAACATCTTTGTCATAGTTTATTTTGCCAGCTTATACCAACAAAAGTGCTTTCCTGACACATTTTTAACAAGCAGGAGGCTGGCTGGTCAGGCTGGGAAATGGGGAGCAGTGTTCCCAATTGGCCGATAAGGTTTCTTCGCCTGGGGACTGTCCCTTCCTTTCTCAGTCCCTCAGTTTCTCCCTGTCATCTTTTGAAGGGTCAGATCGATCGATCAACTGCAGATGTGTGCACATGTACGTGTCGTGTTTTTAGTCAGTTCATTGTCTGTCTGTCTGTCTGTCTGTCTGTCTCTGTGAACACTCGAGTGTTGAAACCAGGCTGATATCAGAAGTAGAAATTTTAGAGAAGTCAGTGATATGCAACCCAGTGATTTAAGAAATGCAGTTGTTTTGGGAACCTGTTAGACAAGGGTTAAGCAATGAGTTCTTATCAGAAGGTTGAGCCTACAGAGAAAGCAGAATTCTCAAACTAAATTTCTTGTTAGAAGAACATTAATGATTATATGATTATTAACAGTTGAAATCCTTTCGAACTGAAGAATCTGTACTATCTAGAAGAGCTATGGAACTAGAGCCTGAAACTAAAGTGAAATAAAGTTCAGAGAACACAAGGCTTTATCTTACAAGCCTCAACCAATTGTAATTGTAATGAGGAATTTAGCTGTTTTAAAAACAACAGAGGTACAGAAGACATCAAAATACACAAAGTTTTCTTATGGTTACACAAACATTGATAGTCCAAGTGTTATTTTTTATGATAATATCAAAGTTTGGTAAACACACAAAAGGTTTTTTTTCTGTGTCTGAAAGCATGTTTGTATTCTTGTGGAATTGTTAAAAGTATCTGGTGTAGAGAGCTCATGATTTTAAATAAGTAAGGTATAAGAATTATTGAAATTAAGCCAAAGAAGGTTTTATCATGTTTTATAAAAACATATATTTGTAATATAAAATCCAGCTCCCGGACGAGAACCGTGCAGTCTGCCCCCACGCCTGGCTGTTCCTCGCCGGGGCTCGTTGGAGGGGAGCGGGTTGAGCTTTCCTCCCTGCCCCAACCAGGGCTCAGGAAGCTGAAGACCTCCAGGACCAGCCACCACCATGCTGAGACCACTCTCCGCACACCTGAAGGTACTGGCAGAGGGACAGATTCACGCGGGTTCCGGGGCCGAGATCTCCCAGCCTACTCGGATTGGAGTCGAGCATCCTCCACCCAGATCCTCCAAATTCCAGTAGGCGGGGGTCACACCCACCACCTGGCCCCCTGGCGCCGTGTAATCCCATCAACGGCCAAGACTCAGAGACTATAAAATCCAGCTCCCGGAATCCAGCATTCACGGCCGCGCGACATCTTATCAGACATCTTTTATGAGATCTTATTATTTCATTCCTACTTTGGACAAACTTGCAGGCTATCGAATGTAGCCTGCCCACAGGGCAGAGTCTGGCAAACTCCCCGTGGCGTACCAAATATGCCAAATACCAGTAACAATGATGGGTCTCATTCTCCTAAAGAGCCTTGAATATAATCTCAGGGTTAGGATGAAAGAGACGTTACTGGGGCCTGCTCGAGGCAATCGACGAATAACAGGATGATGAAATGAAATGAAAAATAAAAATTGATTGTTCATAGGTCTTATGCTGTTATGCTACTGTATATATTTGTATTTGTATTGGATTAGAATATTTGACCTAGAAAATCTTGTGAGTTAAAACAACTATGACACATGAAAACAGGTTCAAAAAGTAACGGTTTAGTTTAAACATGAGTTTCTAGAGTTATAAAATTGGTTTCAAAACTTGCCCTACCAGTGCTCTATCTGATCTCTGAGACTCCTGGTAACTAAAATTTCTAGAACTACTAAGAGTTATAAAGTGGGTTAATCTCAGATGTCAGCCTTCTGTAATGGCTTCGGAGTATGGAGAATTTCATGGAAAATGTGGGAAATTTTACTAACTATATTGGTAATCAGCCTGTGCAGTGCTTGAAAGTACGTGCTACTATTTTGATAACTTTATTTCATGCAAAGCCTTGTCACCAGGTATCAACTTGGCCCTGTTCTTCAGAAAGATTTGCACACGAGTGTGAAATACTTAATGTTTCATAATAATCTATGAGTGCTTTAATCTTTTTGTATTTGTGCTTTCCTGGAAATCAGAATTTTAAGACGTCTTCTGGTTAACTTCTAATGTAAAGTGATCTTTTGCCCAGTGAATATACCTTGTAAGAGCTTGAATTGTGAGCATTTTTAAGGCTTTTTGAATATCTATGGAAGCACTGCAGAGTACAGTTTTCTCATGTTAAGTGAGATTAAGATAAGGTCAGCACTTCCAGGTGGTCCCCCGTATTTTGTACCACCCAACTTCCACCCTTTATGATTACTGGTCCCTGCGTGATATTGCCTCAGCCTGCCAATTCCGCCTGTCTCCGCCATTACCATCCCCACCCTGTTCACTCTTGGCCTTGCGGGTGCCGGTACAGGCATCACTGCCCTGGCTTCTCAGCACTCCGGTCTAGCTACACTTTGTGCCGCCATGGATGCCGACTTAGAGCGCCTTGAAAAACTCATCTTTCACCCCAAGGATTCGCTGACGTTTCTTTCGGAGGTTGCTCTTCAAAACCACCGGGGACTGGACTTGCTCTTTATGAAAGAGGGGGGATTGTGTGCTGCCTTGGGGCAGGCGTGTTGCTTTTAACCAGAGTGGAGTGATTAAAAACTGCATGTGAAGAACTAAGGGAAGGTTTGGAGCAGAGACGACCGGGACGTGGGTCTTCTAGCTCTCGGTGGGCCCGGCACTCTCTACTCCCTTACTTGTTGCCACTGTTGGGTCCCCTGACTGCCCTTTTCTTGGTTGCTATTGTGGGCCCCTGCATTTTTAACCGGATTATCGCTTTTGTTACACAACACATAGCTCCTTTATCTGCCAACTTCATACAAGTGCATTACCACCGCCTGGCAATGAAAGGTGCTTCCCTGGACCATGCGGCCGCAAAATCTGCTGCTGCAGAGGATGGTTCACGGGTCGTGGTTGGTTGGACCCAAGCTTGAGTTGTTTATGGCGAGCTCCCCCGCCCCTCTCTGATCTGACACTCTGGGTACGAAAGAGTCGGACTTTATCCTATTCCATTTTTGTTCAGCCACCAGGTGTCTGGAAAAGCACTGCAAAGGAGGCCGCATGGCTGCTTCCAACTCCCTGTGGAGTACACTGGGCCTGCATGGAGGTTTTCCCTGCCTAGCCTGGCCCTTTTCCGCAGCTCCCCTCCGCTAGTAGAATGAGCAGGGGAAACGGGCTCTGTTTACTCTCCTCCCCTCGGCAAAACAGAGGTCTTCTTGATATCCTGGAGGGGTCCAGTCAATGCTCCCCCTAGCTGGCGTCTTTTATAATAAAGGAAGGGGGAGATGGTCGGACTTCTTCGTCAATACCCTGAATGAGGGGCTAGAGTGATAGCACGTTGGGGAGGGCATTGGCCTTGCACGCGGCCGACCCTGGTTCGATTCCCAGCATCCCATTTGGTTCCCTGAGCACCGCCAGGAGTGATTCCTGAGTGCAAAGCCAGGAGTAACCCCTGTCCATTACCAGGTGTGACTCACCCAAAATTAGGCCCTGAAAGAACTTTTGATGCTCTTCATGTTTCTAGAGCAAGCAGATGCCAGTGGATTAAATATATATACATATATATTAGATATTAGGTTTAGGGGTCACACCCAGCGACGCTCAGGGATTAGTCCTGACTCTGGGCTCCTGAATACCCCCTGGTAAACTCAGGGAACCATAAAAGATGACAGGGATCGAATCTGGGTAAGCTGTATGCAAGGCAAACTTCCTAGCTCCTGTATTATGACTCTAGACTCCCGTGATATTTCCTAGGACAATGTCTATTTGCATATTTTTGCATATATTCCTCTACTATTGAGTATTTAGTTGCCCAGGAATCATTACAGTAGGTGTGAACTTTTTTTAAATGTAGGAGTATTGCTATTTATTCAGCCATTGATTAGGCTGATTGAATTGGGCATAAACTTCACCTTACTTTTTTTTTCTTTTTCATAAATTTATTTATTGAATCGCCTTGAGAGCAGGTTCAAAGCTTTCGGGCTTAAGTCTCTGTCATAGAATGATGAAACACCCGTCCCAACACCAGTGCCCATTCTCCACCACCAAAAAAACGCAGTATGTCCCTGATCCCACATCCTCTCCCTACCTGTGGGGCAGATTATTTCCACATTACTCTCTCTCTACTTTGATTACATTCAATATTTCAACACCAGATCCACCATTATTATTTGTGATTTTACCCCAAGACTCAGATCTGCCGAAAAGGCAAGTGTAGACAATTTGTTTTCTATTGCTGGTTATGAATAACATATGATGTTGCGCGGCCACAGCAGTGGCTGCGCAATATTGGAATTCTGACATTTTAACAATTAAATCTGGAGGAATTTCTGCCAAAACCTGCTGGGTTCCGAGATGTGTTCCTGTGAGGACATGGCCCCCACAGGATCATGGCCATTAAGTAGCTTGATCAGGAGCCAGAGAGGCCATTTATGGGCGGCAACTCGGGGTCTCGTTGGGGCGGGGAGGAAAGAGCCAGCTCCACCCCCATCCTGTGAGGCCCCACGTGTCTCGTCACTGCGGGCCCAAACTTGACTGTCCAATGCTCTCAGGAGAATGGCGGTCACTGAGCCACCCGGGGAAACTGGCCAAGGCACAAAACCTATTCCCACCTGGGGTTGCTCCGTGTCGGTAACAGTAGGTGTACTTCAGATGAGATTTCCTTTTAATGTGTGGGTCTGTTTCTCATTCCCCATCCACCCATCCATGTACCCACTCATCACCATTTGGCCATCCATACACTCACCCATACTTCACGATCCATCTATCCATCCACCCACCTATCCATCATCCATCCATCCATCCACCCATCCATCAACAATTCATCCATCCACCCACCCACCCATACATCCATCATCCATCAATTCATCCATCCCTCATCCATTCATCCATTCATTATCCATACATCCATCCATGCACCCGCTCATCCATTCATCCTCTCACCTACCCACCCATCCATCATTCCTCTGTCCATCCATCCATTCATATACCTATCACCTATCTGTCCATCCTCCTGGTACCTAGTGAGAGCCCTTCCCCAGGGAGCAGAGGGGTGCGGTGGGCAGTTCTTCCCACTGAGTGTCTAGCACCAGAATAAGCAAATGCATGGGGTCCTGTTGGACACTGATCTGTCAGACTTCATCATCTGAGAGTGAAGCAGAGTTACGTCCTGGAGAGGAAGCAGAGGATCTGATAATCTGAAGATCAAAGGGTCAAAACCGGGGGCCCGGGGCCCGAGCTGCTCTTGCCATCAGAGTCGCTGGGAAACATCTCTGCAATGCTATAAAGTTCCCTCCTCCCTCCTCGGCGGGCAGAAGTGTGGTGTTCGATTGGCTTCTTGTTCTTCTCTTCGTGTGCACGGAGAAGGTAAGGAGCCACGAGGCAACCCCTGAGCTCTAAAACTAGCCAGAAAAGAGGAGGAGAAAGAAGAGGAGGAGCAGGAGGAAGAAGAGGGAGAGGAAGAAGAGAAACAGGAGACAATAGAGAAAGAGGAGGAGGTGGAAAGGAGCAGGGAGCACTGCACGATGGACAGTAACTCTGACTACGAGGACCCAGATGGTCCCGGTAAGGCAAGCGAGCTAGTGGGTCTATGCCACTGGGTCCTGAGTGCCGGGGTGGAAAGCCACAGCCCAGCTGTCGCACTCACAGTCGTCTCTGTCCCCTTCAGAAAGGATCTATGTCGACTTAAAGGTGGATGAGAATGAGGTTCCGCAGCCAAAGACCGTGAGGTTCTGTTCGGGTAGGTCAGCCGCCTGGGGAAGAGGGTGCCCGGGAGGCGGGTCTGGCAGAGACACTGTGGGCCTGAGCCTCAGCCCTGCCCCCAGCCACTCCCGCAGGGCGTCCGGCCTGGGTCAGCAAGGACCTCCTGCAGCTTCTCACCTCTCTGGGCGTCTTCCTGCTCCTCGTGTTCATCCTGGTCCAGGGTGAGTTCAAGGGACGTGGGCTTGGAGTCAGGTTTTCTTTCTTTTTTTTTTTTTTTTTTGCTTTTTTTTGGGGGGTCACACCCGGCGATGCACAGGGGTTACTCCTGGCTCTGTACTCAGGAATTATTCCTGGCGGTGCTCGGGGAACCCTATGGGATGCTTGGAATCGAACCGAGGCGTCTTCCTGCTCCTAGTGACCATCCAGGCCCAGTGTGAGTCCAAGGGGCCGTGGGCTTGGAGTCTGAGGTCCCTTTGGATTCTCTCTCTGATACGTTAGTTCTCTAAAGGGATAGGGTTTTGACTCCATCTCATCTGCTGTGTGACATTGTCCCTCCCAAACACCCTCTCTGAGCCCATTTCCCACTCAGGATCCCTGCATGGGACACAGAGTCACAGACGGTTTGGGATGGGGGTCACTCACGGGGTCTTCTCTGCTCTCTTGTAGTCTCCAGATTCCACCAGTCCCTGCAGAACTGGCCTGGGGCCCGTCAGAAAAGCCAGAGCCCAGGTGAGGAGTTGGACAGCACATAGTCCAGTGGGTGGGCTCCCAGGATGCAGGGCCTGGAGGGAGCCCCCAGCTCAGGGGAAACGAGGGAGAGCGTGTGCTCGCTGGGGAGAGCTATTCTGTGAGCCTCACTCTTCCCGTCTGTAAAATGGGCTCTGAGGAGGCCGGAGTGACAGCCCAGAGGGGATGGCGTTTGCCTTGCATGCGGCCAATCCAGGTTCGATCCCCGGCATCCCATAAGATCCTCTGAGAGCCACCAGGAGTCATTCCTGGGTTCAGAGCCAGACAAAAAGGAAAAACAAAACAACCAGAACAACAAAAAAACTCTAGGGGGAGCTTTGCGGTCTCTGCGGGATCTGCCAGCAGATCCTCCCAGGGACTGTCCACCCGTGGTTGGTGCTTGACACTGAGTCCTTGCCTGCAGATACGCAGAAGCAGATTCAAGAGAAACTTGAAATCATCGGCAAGCGGATTGCTCGAATGAATGGCACTCTGGGTACGTCAGGTGGAGGACCGGGTCAGGAGGGGCGTGCATGGGGCCGGGGGCTTCTGGCTACAGGCTTGAGGAGGGCGGGTGTGCTGGGGACACTTCCATGAAGGACCCCATGCTCTGAGCTGACACAGCACACTGGGACCCAGCGCCCCCCACCCCTGTATCTGACGCTGCCCTTCTCCCCCAGAGAGACTCTGCCAGTGCCCCTGGGGCTGGGAGCTCTTCCAGGGAAGCTGCTACTGGTTTTCCAGGTCCAAGAGCAATTGGACGTCTTCAGACCCAGTCTGTCAGAGCATGAACGCCCGGCTGGTGGTCGTCAACAGCGTCTCTGAGGAGGTGTGGCACCTTGGCTGGTCTCAACACCCTCTCTGCCACACTTATGGGAGGTCAAGCCCAATGGGCATAGGATGGACCATGGGTACAGTCAGGGAAGGCTTCCTGGAGGAGCAGGAGGAAGGTCCCATGATAGGTCATGTATGAGGGGCACTGTGGTGAGGGCAGATGGGGCCTCTCTCCACACCTCACCCCATCCTGGGAAGGAGACTCAGCACTGCAAACAGCTACTCTGGTGTCCTGGGTTCAGGTTGTGCCCGGACTGCAGAAGGACTTTCCTGGGTGCAGGGTCCGCGGAAGTGTGGACAGGGGTGCTCAGGGCTGTGTTGGGGATCTTCCCTCTGATGTCCCCCATTTTGCACCCACAGAAATTCCTCCAGTCTTGGGAGGTCCGGTATGAGAAAAGAACTTGGATCGGACTCAGTGACCACCACGAAGAGGCGTCCTGGCAATGGGTGGACGGGACCCCTTTCCAACTCAGGTGACCCCTCCCAAACACTGCCTTGGGGCCGGAACATGGAGGGGGAATCCCCGACCCCAAGAAGAGCGTGCGATCGACTTCTGGGATCGCCACCCCAGTTGCCCGGGGCCACGACAGAGAGGTCCATTCAAGAGTCAGGCCCAGAAATCAGCCATTTACCCCAATGTCATCTGAATCTTAATTTCTTTTTTTTTTTTTTTGCTTTTTGGGTCACACTCAGCGATGCTCAGGGGTTACTCCCGGTTCTGCACTCAGGAATTGCTCCAGGCGGTCCTCAGGGGACCCTATGGGATGCCAGGGATAGAACCTAGGTCTGTCGAGTGTAAGGCAAATGCCCTACCTGCTGTGCTATTGCTCCGGCCCCAGATTCTTGATTTCTTTGGTTTAAGCCACATCCAGTGGTGGGCACGGCTTAGTCCTGGTTTTTGACCAGGGGTCATTCATGGTGGGATTCAGGGGACAAGATGCGATGCCAGAGATGAAACCCCAGTTTGCTGCGTGAGAGGCAAGAGCCGTCCCCGCTGTGCTATCTCTCCAGCCCCTTATAGGAATAAATTTTTACAACCCTTTCTTTGGAGCTGGAGTGATGGGACAGCGGGGAAGACACTTGCCCTGCATGTGGCCACGTGGGCTCAGTCCCCAGCACCACTGATGATGTCCTGAGCCCCACCAAGGGTGACCCCTGAGCACAGAGCTAGGCGTAAGCCAGGAGTAAGCACTGGCAAACGTGGCCCTGACACCAACTATATTAACAATCCTGCCTCGGAATTTCTCCCCTCCTGTTGGAAATTGGCTGCAAAGTGCCAGAGAGCAGCCCCTCACAGAGCGGGTCAGGTGGGCTCGATTGGATCTAAGGACGGGCCGTGGGGGGCTCATTGCATCACTGCTGTTCACAGCTTCTGGAAACCAGGAGAACCCAACAACGATGAGGATGAGGACTGTGTGGAATTGTGGAATGATGGCTGGAACGATGACCAGTGTAGTAAGGAGAAGCCGTGGATTTGTGAGAAGCCCTTGGTGTCCTGCTCCCAACCGTGATGACCATTGTCCCCCTCGGTCAGGCTGCTCTGGGGCTCCGTGAGGCGCTCCTGCCCCAACTGTGGCTTTCTCCTCCTGGACCCTGAAGATCCCCAGAGATTCCGAGACCCCCTTGTCCACAGCCCGCCCCCCCATCGGTTAGAGGTCACCCCCTCCCTTGGGTGTCTCTTCCTCCCTTGGGTGCCTCTTCCTCCTCTCGGCCCCAGTGGCATCCCCTGAATAAAGTCACACACTAGATACTGTCGTCGTTGAACACGGTGTCTGTGCTTTCGCCACTGCTTCAAGTGCTCTTGTCGATGACATTTGCTGTTTGCTACGACAGTCTTTCTTTCTTTCCTTCTTTCTTCCTTTCCCTCTTTCTTTCTTTCTTCCTTTCTTTCTTTTTCTTCTTCTTCTTCTTCTACTTTTTAATTTTTTGCTTTTCGGGTCACAGTAGGCAATGCACAAGGGTTATTCCTGGCTCATGCACTCAGGAATTACCCCTGGTGTTGCCTGGGGGACCATATGGGACGCTGGGAATCGAACCCGGGTCGGCTCCATGCAAGGCAAACACCCTACCCGCTGTGCTATCACTCCAGCCCCTGTGCTATCATTTTTTAAATTTTTATTTTATAAGGTCGTTCCCAGTATTTGATTACAGTTAATATTCAAAAACCAACCCCATCACCATGACACCTTCCCAGCACCAAATTTGGGATGTTTCCATCCCAAGGCCAATCCCTGTCCCACAGCACAACCGAAATAATATATTTTATATTGTTTGTTGTGCAAAACCATTTCATGATGTGTCTCGTATGTGAGGTTCAGCCCGAGCACTGGGGAATGGCCTTGAGTGTGGTGGCGGTTGGGTTCTGGAGGTTTTCGGCTACTGGAGCTGGGTCCCTTGGGGCAGGGAGGGCTCTCACCTAAGCCCTCTGGGGTGCCCCGAGTGAAACAGCCTGGTGCGGAGTTCGGTGGCATAGCTATGGCGGGCGTCATGTTGCTTTCTTCTGGGAGAAAAAGCCGTGTGATCTGGATGGCGGCCGATGAGGAAATTATCTGGCGCCAGCAGGAGGTGACTTATGGTGATGTGACCCATCCATTCATTTCTATACCTATCAATCCATCCATTCATCTACACATTACCCACCCACCACCAACCCACCCACCCATCCACCCATCCGTCAACCCATCCACTACCTACCCTCCACACGTCCCATTCATCCACCCGCCAACCAATCCATCCAACCATTCATTCATCCATACATTAATGCATCCATTCATTCATCTACCTATCATCTATTTATCCTCCCATGCATGCACCCATCTATACACTTACCGATACATCCATCTACCCACCCACCAATTCATCCATCCATCCATCCATCCATCCATCCATCCATCCATCCATCCATCTATCCAATCTACCTTCTCTATGGAAGACTTCTTCATATGAAAGTCTGGTTGAGTTAGGGCAGTACTGGCTTACTCTTTTTTTTTTTCGTTTTTGGATCACACCCAGCGATGCACAGGGGTTACTGCTTGATCCACACTCAGGAGTTACTCCTGGCGGTGCTCAGAGGACCATACGGGATGCTGGGACTTGAATGCTGGTCAGCCACGTGCAAGGCAAATGCCCTACCTGCTGTGCTCTCATTCCAGCCCTGCTGACTTACCCTTGGATTCAGAACTTCAGCGGTTTTTACACTTTTTTTGGTGGGGGAGACACAGCTTATTCAGAACAAAGGGATCTGATCTTGTCACTCTCACAAATGAGGTTTCACACAGTCATTTTTGACTGGTGCGCTGTTTTTCCAACATTGCTTGGTGCACCTTGCCTGGGAGGTGTGGACTTCTCGGCCTGCCTTCTTCCCTGGATGTATATCAGATAGTTTTGAGGGTGCAGCAGGAGAGAGATAATACAAGGGTTAAGGTGTTTGCATTGCATGCAGCTGGCTATGGTTCAATCTCCAGTGCTGTATCAGATACTAAGAAAGTGCCCAGAAGTGCTGGAGCGATAGAACAGCGGGTAGGACATTTGCCTTGCACGTGGCCAACCCAGGTTCGATTCTCAGCATCCCTTATGGTCCCTGATCACCGCCAGGAATAATTCCTGAGTGAAGAGCCAGGAATAAGCATTGTGCACAGCCGGGTGTGACCCAAAAAGAAAAAAAAACACCCAGAGTTATCCCTTGAGCACAGAGCCAGGAGTAGCCAAGTAACAGCCCCAAGAGCATTAAGAGAGAAATAAAGGATTCAAGTGTTGTTTCATGTACCTGGTCCCGCCTCCAAACCTTCACAAACCCTTTCACAGGATTCATCAATGTCTCGCCTTCCCCGCTCCTGTCCATCAGGAGAGTTGGCTGGTTTTTTTTTTTTTTCACGAATGACACTGGGCCAACAGGAACCCCTCAAAGGAGGTGTCCAGGATCCTGAGCACTGAAAGACATTGATGACCGGGCAAAACCCAGAACCTCACGGAGCATGTCCCTGAGTTTGACTCTTTGGACTGGTCATGACTTTTTATCTTTTTTTTTAAAAAAAAGGGAAAAGAAAGATCTGCCCTGCCCAACGTCCTCCCTCCAGCTGTGTCAGGAAGTTTTCTCTTCCGGTCCTTTCCCCCACCCCCGTTCCATCCACACACACACACACACACCCAGTGATTTTTCGGGGAAAAGTGAGGACACCAAGCCCTTTCTTGTTCTCCTTTCTGACGGAGACGGGGGCCAGATCAGGGATCAAGCTCTGGATTATAAAAACCAGAGTCCGCGGGAGGCGGTGGAGCAGGGAGACCAGAGGATGGGGGAGATGCTTCACCCCCAAGGACCAAGGGACCAAGGTGAGGCCGGCAGATAAGGGGGGCATGGAGCTTTGGGGTGCTGCGGAAACCCAGGCTGGCTTCCAGCTCTCAATCCGGGGAGTTGGGTTTATCTAGGGAAAGACTCAGTATGTGTCTGTCCCGATCAGAGCAGGGCACGTTTGGGGATGTGAACATGGCCCTGGAGGAGGCTGGAATATTCCAGAACGTGAGGAGGTGGTCAGGTAGGGAGTGTGTCAGCCACCTGGCGTAGGGTGGGGGGTTCTGGGAGGCGTCTCTGGAATACGAACTAGGAACGTTGGTCTCAACTCTGCCCCTGGCCACTCCGCAGGGCTCCTGCCCCGGGTCAGCCTGTCTCTGTTTCAGCTTCTAATCAGCCTGATCTTCCTCCTGGTCCTCATCATCATCTTGGCCCGCGGTGAGTCCTGGGGAACTGTGTGTCCAGGCTCACACCGGCTTTTCCCGCTAGGATGTCCTTGACCCTTTTCTCCCTGGTCCCCTGAAATGCTGAGGGTTTGGGCTCTGTGCCCCGTGCTCTGTGGTGTTGCAGCTCTGACACACTCTCTCTGAGCCCAATTTCCCGGCCATGGCAGGCTGCTCTGCTTCCTGGCTCTCTGCAACCTCCAGTCGTGAGGTGGCATCACACACACGGTTCAGGGGCCACTCAAGGGGGTTTCTCTGTTGCTTTGTAGTCTCTAGGGTCCACCAGACCCTGCAGAGCTGGCCTGGGGCCCATCAGAGGAGCCAGAGCTCAGGTGAGGAGTGGATATCACACATTCCAGCGTGGGGGATTCCCAGCTCAGCGCCTGGAGGGACCACCCAGCTCTGGGGGAAAGCTGGGGGGGTGTTTGCGTGCTGGAGCCCCGAGAGCTCACTGGGCTATGCGGCTCTGTGAGCCTCACTCTTCTCATCTGTAAAATGGGCTTCGAGGTCTCTGTGGGACCCACCCAGCATGCTCTGGGTGGCGGGAGGGGGCCTCTATTGTTGGTGCTTAGACTTTGAGTCCTCGTCTGCAACTGATGCCCGTGAGCAACAGATCCAGGCCGGTCTCCACTTGGTCAAACAGAAGCTTGCCCGGATAAACGACTCCCTGGGTAGGTTTGAGTCAGGTCCCAGTCTGGAGGGGCTGTGTGTGGGGTGCTGGGACGCAAGGGCTGCTCCCACTTTTTTCTTCTTTCTATTTTTCTTTTTGGGTCTCACCCAGCAATGCTCAGGGGTTACTCTGGCTCTGCACTCAGGAATTACTCCTGGCAGTGCTCAGAGGACCCTATGGGATGCTGGGAATCGAACCTGGGTTGGCCGCATGCAAGGCAAACGCCCTCCTCGCTGTGCTATCGCTCCAGCCCTGCTCCCATTTTCTTTTCTTTTCTTTTTTTTTTTTTTTTTTTTTTTTTTTTTGCTTTTTGGGTCACACCAGGCGATGCACAGGGGTTCCTCCTGGCTCTGCACTCAGGAATTACTCCTGGTGGTGCTCAGGGGATCCTATGGGATGCTGGGAATCGAACCTGGGTTGGCCGCGTGCAAGGCAAACGCCCTCCTCGCTGTGCTGTCGCCCCAGCCCTGCTCCCATTTCCTAGGCTAAAGGTGTCTGGAAGGGACTGGAGCAATAGCACAGAGGGTAGGGCGTTTGCCTTGAGCGCGGCCAACCCGGGTTTGAATCCTAGCATCCCATAGGGTCCCCCAGGCACCGCCAAGGGGGTAATTCCTGAGTGCAGAGCCAGGAGGAACCCCTGTGCATCACCGGGTGTGACCCAAAATCCAAAAATAAAATAAAATAAAATAAAGGTGTCTGGAAGGCTGTGTGGGTCGGAGCTGTTCCCTAAGGGTCCCACGCGCTGAGCTGACCCCAGGCCCGAGTCTCTGAGATCTGACCCACTCCCTTCTCTCCTCCCCAGAGAGGCTCTGCTGTGCCTGCCCCTGAGGCTGGGAGCACTTTCGGGGAAGCTGCTACCTGTATTCCAGGTCCGCGGGGGATTGGTTCCATGCTATGTCCACCTGTCGGCGCACGAATTCCCAGCTGGTGATCGTCAACAGTGCCCCGGAGGAGGTGTGTTGGCCGGGCGTCCTTGGCTGCTCTCAAGACCCTCTCTCCCACCTTCCTCTCTCTCCTGCGATTCGGAGACTCAGGGGTTCGGATGTGGTCAGGGGAGAGTCACTCAGGGAAGTCTTCCTGGAGGAAGAAGCGGCGGGCACATGAGGCGTGTCCCCCAGAGAAAACATAGAGAAAAGGAACTTTTTCCTTTGTTTATTTTTTGGTTGATTTTTTTTTAACTTTTGGGTCACACCCTGAGCATCGCCAGAGTTCCTCCTGGCTCTGCCTTCAGGAATTATTCCTGGCGGTGCTCGGGAGCCATATGAGATGCTGGGGATCGAGCCCTGGTCAGCTGTGTGCAAAGCAAAGGCTTGCCTATTGTTTCTGCCCTGGGAGCTTTTAATTTATTTATTTATTTTTGAACAGACAGGAGGTCTTCATGAGGTCTTTGCTCACGATATACACACATGCTCTCACACCTGCTACTGATTTTATTTCATTTTATTTTATTTTTTGCTTTTTGCTTTTGGGATGTGCAGGGGTTACTCCTGGCTCTGCACTCAGGAATTACTCCTGGCGGTGCTCAGGGGACCATGTGGGATGCTGGGAATCGAACCGCGGTCGGCCACATGCAAGGCAGATGCCCATCACTCTAGCCCCTCACGTGTCCTACTGAAACACACATGCAATTCCACGCGCAGGGCAAGTTTGGAGGTTCAATGTAGACTGGCCCCCAGAAGAACAGCTCTGGGAACAGGAAAGGGAAGGGAAGCGTTTGGGTGTCTTCCTTCGGACGCCCCTCCCCCTGACCCCTATCCTTGGATCCTTCCACCTCCAGAAATTCCTACAATTTTGGAAAGTGCAGAAGAAGGGTCTGTGGATTGGCCTCAGCGACCACCATGATGAGGGGTCCTGGCAGTGGATAGACGAAAGCCCCCTCAATATCAGGTGAACCTTAAGAGACATTGGCCGGGCTGGGCGGGGGGGTGGGGGACACTCGGGAAACCTTTCCTCCAACTCAGGTGATCCCCCAAAATGGCCTCAAAGAGTATGAGGGAGCCTCACCCCATATGGTTCCCTGAGCAAGTGGGGGGAACAGTGGAATCCTGGCACCACCACGGCAGATCTGAGTCTTGGGGTAAAATCCCAAATAATAATGGTGGATCTGGTGTTGAAATATTGAATGTAATCAAAGTAGAGAGTAATGAGGAAATAATCTGCCCCACAGGTAGGGGGAGGATGTGGGATCGGGGGCATACTGGGTTTTTTTGGTGGGGGAGAATGGGCACTAGTGTAGGGACGGGTGTTTCGAGACTTAAACCCGAAAACTTTGTAACTGCTCTCACTGTGATTCAATAAATAAATTTATAAAAAGGGGGAAAAAAGTAAGGTGGAGTTCATGCCCAATTCAATCAGCCTAATCAATGGCTGAATAAATAGCAATACTCCTACATTTAAAAAAAGTTCACATCTACTGAAATGATCCCTGGGCAATTAAATACTCAATAGTAGAGGAATCTATGCAAAAATATGCAAATAGACATTGTCCTAGGAAATATCACGGGAATCTAGAGTCATAATACAGGAGCTAGGGAGTTTGCCTTGCATACGGCTTACCCAGATTCGATCCCTGGCATCCTTTATGGTTCCCTGAGTTTACCAGGGGGGATTCATGAGCCCAGAGTCAGGACTAACCCCTGAGGGTCGCTGGGTGTGACCCCAAAACCTAATATCTAATACATATGTATATATATTTAGTCCAATGGTATCTGCTTGCTCTAGGAACATGAAGAGCATCAAATCGTTCTTTCAGGGCCTTTTTTTTTCAGGGGTGACTGGGGAGGTTAAACCTGGCGATGCACAGGGGTTACTCCTGGATTTGCACTCAGGAATCACTCCTGGCGGTGCTCAGGGAACTATATGGGATGCTGGGAATCAAAACAGGGTCGGCCGCGTGCCAGGCAAACGCCCTACCCACCGTGGTATCACTCCAGCCCCTCATTCAGGGTCTTGACGAAGAAGTCCGACCATCTCGTAGGTGGGCAGCCAGGCGTTCTTTTGACGTCCCGTGGAATCAACTGGGCTGCATCTTCACTGTCCTCCCATTGTTCATCGATTTGCTTGAGCGGGCCCAATAACGTCTCCATCATGAGACTTGTTGTTACTGTATTTGGCATATCGAATACGTCACGGGGAGCTTGCCAGGCTTTGCCGTGCGGGCGAGATACTCTCGGTAGCTTGCCGGGCTACTCGGAGAGGGGCAGAGGAATCAAACTCGGGTTGGCCATGTTGGCCGCTTGCAAGGTAAACGCCCTACCCGCTGTGCTATCACTCCAGCCCGTGAACCATCTTATAAAATAAAAATTTAAAAAATGATAGCACAGCGGGTACAGCGTTTGCCTTGCATGCAGCCGACCCAGGTTCGATTCCTCCATCCCTCAGAGAGCCCGGCAAGCTACCGAGAGTAAGTTCCCTGTGGTGTATTCGATATGCCAAAAACAGTAACAACAAGTCTCACAATGGAAACGTTACTGGTGCCTGGTAGAGCAAAATCAATGAACAACGGAGGACAGTATACTACAGTGACAGTAAAAAAAGGAAGGAAGGAAGGAAGAAAGAAAGAAAGAAAGAAAGAAAGAAAGAAAGAAAGAAAGAAAGAAAGAAAGGGATGTGTAGGTGTGTAGGTGGATGGACTGATGGATAGATGAATGATGAAGGATAGGTCAGGGTTTGGGCAGACAGATGGATAAACAGTCAAAACAAAGTCTGGTAGATATATGTCCACACAGGTGTACTTGTCATCAGCTTTACAAAGCATATCAAAATGGTACGCAAGAAAGCAAATTAACGCCCCTAGAGAAAGAAAGACATTGAAAGAAACAGTGTGGTGGGGCTGGAGAGATAGCACAGCGGGTAGGGCGTTTGCCTTGCACGCAGCCGACCCGGGTTCAATTCCCAGCATCCCATATGGCCCCCCAAGCACCACCAGGAGTAATTCCTGAATGCAGAGCCAGGAGTAACCCTTATGCATCGCCAGGTGTGACCCGAAAAGCAAAAAATTTTTAAAAAAAGAGGAAGAAAGAAACACTGTCGTAGCAAAGAGCAAATGTCATCGACAAAACCACTTGAAGCAGCGGCGAAAGCACAGACACCGTGTTCAACGACGACACTATCCAGTGTGTGACTTTATTCAGGGGATGCCACAGGGGCCGAGGGGAGGAAGTGGAACCCAAGGGAGGGGGTGACCTCTAGCCGATGGGGGGCAGGACGTGGGCAAGGGGGTCTCGGGATCTCTGGGGATCTCCAGGGTCCAGGAGGAGGAAGCCACAGTTGGGGCAGGAGCGCCTCACGGAGCCCCAGAGCAGCCTCACCGAGGGGGACAATGGTCATCACGGTTGGGAGCAGGACACCGCGGGCTTCTCACAAATCCACGGCTTCTCTTGACTACACGGGATATCGTTCCAGCCATCATTGAACAATTCCACACAGTCCTCATCGCCATGGTTGTTGGGTTCTCCTGGTCTCCAAAAGCTGTGAACAGCAGTGATGCAATGAGCCCCCCACGGCCTGTCCTCAGCTCCAACCAATCCCACCTGCCCCGCTCCGTGAGGGGATGCTCTCTGGCACTTTGCAGCCAGTTTCCAACAGGAGGGGAGAAATTCCGAGGCAGGTTTGTTAAATATAGTTGGTGTCAGGGCCACGTTTGCCAGCGCTTACTCCTGGCTTATTCCTAGCTCTGTGCTCAGGGGTCACCCTTGGTGGGGCTCAGGACATCATCAGTGGTGCTGGGAACTGAGCCCAAGTGGCCACATGCAGAGGAAGTGCCTTCCCCGCTGTCCCATCACTCCAGCTCCAAAGAAAGGGTTGTAAAAATTTATTCCTATAAGGGGCTGGAGAGATAGCACAGCGGGGACGGCTCTTGCCTCACACGCAGCAAACTTGGGTTTGAACTCTGGCATCGCATCTTGTCCCCTGAATCCCACCATGAATGATCCCTGGTCACAAAACCAGGACTAAGCCTTGCCCACCACTGGATGTGGCATGAAACAAAGAAATCAAGAATCTGGGGCCGGAGCAATAGCACAGCAGGTAGGGCATTTGCCTCACACTCGACAGACCTAGGTTCTATCCCTGGTATCCCGTAGGGTCCCCTGAGCACTGCCTGGAGTAATTCCTGAGTGCGGAACCGGGAGTAACCCCTGAGCATCGCTGGGTGTGACCCAAAAAGCAAAAAAAAAAGAAATCAAGATTCAGATGACATGGGAATAAATGGCTGATTCCTGGACCTGGGTCTTGAATGGGGCTCTCTGTCGTGGCCCGGGAAACTGGGGTGGTGATCCCAGAAATCGATCGCACGCTCTGCTTGGATCTGGGATTCCCCCTCCATGTTCCGCCCCTCACGCAGTGTTTGGGCGGGGTCACCTGAGTTGGAAAGGGGTCCCGTCCACCCATTGCCAGGACGCCTCTTCGTGGTGGTCACTGAGTCCGATCCAAGTTCTTTTCTCATGCCGGACCTCCCAAGACTGGAGGAATTTCTGTGGGTGGAAAATGGGGGACATCAGAGGGAAGATCCCACACACAGCGCTGAGCACCCCTGTCCACACTCCCGTGGACCCTGCACCCAGGAAAGTCCTGAAGTCCGGGCACAGCCTGAACCCAGGACACCAGAGTAGCTGTTTGCAGTGCTGAGTCTCCTTCGCGGGATGGGGTGGGTGGTGGAGAGAGGCCCCATCTGTCCTCACCGCAGTGGCTCTCATACATGACCTATCACGGGACCTTCCTCCTGCTCCTCCAGGAAGCCTCCCCTGACTACACCCATGGTCCATCCTATGCCTATTGGGCTTGACCACCCAGAAGGGTGCCAAAGAGTGTGTTGAGACCAGCCAGGGGGCCACACCTCCTCGGAGACGTTGTTGACAACCACCAGCCGGGCGTTCATGCTCTGACAGGCAGGGTCTGAAGACGCCCAATCGGTCTGGGACCTGGAGAACCAGTAGCAGCTTCCCTGGAAGAACTCCCAGCCCCAGGGGCACTGGCGGCAGAGTCTGTCTGGGGGAGAAGGGCAGCGTCAGATCCCGGGGTGGGGGGCGCTGGGTCCCATTGTGCTGTGTCAGCTCAGAGCATGGGGTCCTTCAAGGAAGTGTCCCCAGCACACCCGCCCTCCTCAAGCCTGTAGCCAGAAGCCCCCGGCCCCCTGCACGCCCTTCCTGACCCGGGTCCTCCTCCTGACGTACCCAGAATGCCATTCATCCAAGCAAGCCGCTTGCCGATGACTTCGAGTTCTTCTGGAATCTGCTTCTGCGTATCTGCAGGCAAGGACTCAGTGTCAAGCAACAACCACGGGTGGAAAGTCCCCGCGAGGATGTGCTGGCAAATCCCACAGAGACCGCAAAGCTCCCCCTAGAGTTTTTTTTTGTTGTTGTTGTTTTTTGTTTTGTTTTTTGCCTTTTTGTCTGGCTCTGCACCCAGGAGTTACTCCTGGCGGTGCTCAGGGGATCCTATGTTATGCCGGGGATCGAACCTGGATTGGCCACATGCAAGGCAAACGCCATCCCCTCTGTGCTGTCACTCCAGCCCCCTCAGAGCCCATTTTACAGAGAGGAAGAGTAAGGCTCACAGAAGAGCTCTATCCAGTGAGCACACGCGGGGTTCCAGCCCACCCAGCTCTCCCTCATTTCCCCTGAGCTGGGGGCTCCCTCCAGGCCCTGCATCCTGGGAGCCCACCCACTGGACTATCTGCTGTTCAACTCCTCACCTAGGCTCTGGCTTTTCTGACAGGCCTCAGGCCAGTTCTGCAGGGACTGGTGGAATCTGGAGACTACAAGAGAGCAGAGAAGCCCCCGTGAGTGCCCCTCCCCAAACCGTCTGTGACTCTGTGTCCCATGCAGGGATCCTGAGTGGGAAATGGGCTCAGAGAGGGTGTGTAGGAGGGACAATGTCACACAGCAGATGAGATGGAGTCAAAACCCTATGCCTTTAGAGAACTAACGTATCAGAGAGAGAACCCAAAGGGACCTCAAACTCAAGCCCACGGCCCCTTGGACTCACTCTGGGCCAGGATGGTCACTAGGAGCAGGAAGAGGCCCCGGTTCTATTCCCAGCATCCCAAAGGGTCCCCCGAGCACCGCCAGGAATAATTCCTGAGTACAGAGCCAGGAGTAACCCATGTGCATCGCCGGATGTGAGCCCCCAAAAAAGCAAAAAAAAAAAAAAGAAAGAAAAGCTGACTCCAAGCCCATGTCCCTTGAACTCACCCTGGACCAGGATGAACACGAGGAGCAGGAAGACGCCCAGACAGGTGAGAAGCTGCAGGAGGTACTTGCTGACCCGGACCAGACGCCCTGCGGGAGTGGCCGGGGGCAGGGCTGAGGCTCAGGCCCACAGTGTCTCTACCAGACCCGCCTCCCGGGCACCCTCGTCCCCAGGCGGCTGACCTACCCGAACAGAACCTCACGGTCTGGGGCTGCGGAACCTCATTCTCAGCCACCTTTAAGTTGACATAGACCCTTTCTGAAGGGGACAGAGACGTCTGTGAGTGCCACAGTTGGGCTGGGCTTTCCACCCCGGCACCCAGGACCCAGTGACACAGACCCACTAGCCCCGCCTGCCTTACCGGAACCATCTGGCTCCTCGTAGTCAGAGTTACTGTCCATCGTGCAGTGCTCCCTGCTCCTTTCCACCTTCTCCTCTTTCTCCATCATCTTCTCTTTCTCTTCTTCCTCTCCCTCTTCCTCTTCCTCCTCCAACTCCTCCTCCTCCTTCTCCTCTCTAGTTTTAGTTTTAGAGCTCAGGGGTTGCCTCGTGGCTCCTTACCTTGTCCGTGCACACGATGAGAAGAACAAGAAGCCAATCGAACACCACACTTCCGCCCGCCGAGGAGGGAGGAGGGAACTTTATAGCATTGCAGAGATGTTTCCCAGCGACTCTGATGGCAAGAGCAGCTCGGGCCCTGGGCCCCCAGTCTTGACCCTGTGATCTTCAGATTATCAGATCCTCTGCTTCCTCTCCAGGACGTAACTCCGCTTCACTCTCAGATGTTGAAGTCTGACAGATCAGTGTCCAACAGGACCCCATGCATTTGCTTATTCTGGTGCTAGACACTCAGTGGGAAGAACTGCCCACCGCACCCCTCTGCTCCCTGGGGAAGGGCTCTCACTAGGTACCAGGAGGATGGACAGATAGGTGATAGGTATATGAATGGATGGATGGACAGAGGAATGATGGATGGGTGGGTAGGTGAGAGGATGAATGGATGAGCGGGTGCATGGTTGGATGTATGGATAATGAATGGGTGAATGGGTGAATGGGTGAATGGATGAGGGATGGATGAATTGATGGATGATGGATGTATGGGTGGGTGGGTGGATGGATGAATTGTTGATGGATGGGTGGATGGATGGATGGATGAATTGTTGATGGATGGGTGGATGGATGGATGGATGGATGGATGGATGGATGATGGATAGGTGGGTGGATGGATAGATGGATCGTGAAGTATGGGTGAGTGTATGGATGGCCAAATGGTGATGAGTGGGTACATGGATGGGTGGATGGGGAATGAGAAACAGACCCACACATTAAAAGGAAATCTCATCTGAAGTACACCTACTGTTACCGACACGGAGCAACACCAGGTGGGAATAGGTTTTGTGCCTTGACCAGTTTCCCCGGGTGGCTCAGTGACCGCCATTCTCCTGAGACCATTGCACAGTCAAGTTTGGGCCCGCAGTGACGAGACACGTGGGGCCTCACAGGATGGGGGTGGAGCTGGCTCTTTCCTCCCGACACCAACGAGACCCCGAGTTGCCGCCCACAAATGGCCTCTCTGGCTCCTGATCAAGCTACTTAATGGCCATGATCCTGTGGGGGCCATGTCCTCACAGGAACAAATCTCGGAACCCAGCAGGTTTTGGCAGAAATTCCTCCAGATTTAATTGTTAAAATGTCGGAATTCCAAAATCGCGCAGCCACTGCTGTGGCCGCACAACATCATATGTTATTCATAACCAGCAATAGAAAACAAATTGTCTACAGTTGCCTTTTCGGCAGATCTGAGTCTTGGGGTAAAATCCCAAATAATAATGATAGATCTTGTGTTGAAATATTGAATGTAATCAAAGTAGAGAGAGAGTAATGTGGAAATAATCTGCCCCACAGGTAGGGAGAGGATGCGGGATCAGGGACATACTGGGGGTTTTTTGGTGGTGGAGAATGGGCACTGGTGTTGGGACGGGTGTTTCATCATTGTATGACAGAGACTTAAACCCAAAATCTTTGTAACTGCTCTCACGGTGATTCAATAAATAAATTTATAAAAAAAAAAGGGGGGGGGAAGGAAGGTGGAGTTCATGCCCAATTCAATCAGCCTAATCAATGGTTGAATAAATAGCAATACTCCTACATTTAAAAAAAAAGTTCACACCTACTGTAATGATTCCTGGGCAATTAAATACTCAATAATAGAGGAATATATGCAAAAATATGCAAATATACATTGTCCTAGAAAATATCACGGGAGTCTAGAGTCATAATACTGGAGCTAGGAAGTTTGCCTTGCATACAGCTTACCCAGATTCAATCCCTGGCATCCTTTATGGTTCCCTGAGTTTACCAGGGGGTATTCATGAGCCCAGAGTCAGGACCAATCCCTGAGCGTCGCTGGGTGTGACCTCCAAACCTAATATCTAATATATATGTATATATTTAATCCCAGGTAAAGGTAAAGGCCCTCCCGTTGATCGTCGATTTGCTCGAGCGGGCCCAGTAACGTCTCCATTGGAGACTTTGTTGTTACTGTGTCTGGCATATCGAATACGTCACGGGGAGCTTGCCGGGCTCTCCGAGAGGGGCGGAGGAATCAAACTCGGGTCGGCCATGTTGGCCGCTTGTAAGGCGAACGCCCTACCCGCTGTACTATCTGGCGTCTCCTTGCTCTAGAAACATGAAGAGCATCAAACAGTTCTTTCAGGGCCTTATTTTGGTTGGATCACACCTGGTAATGGATAGGGGTTACTCCTAGCTTTGCACTCAGGAATCACTCCTGGCGGTGCTCAGGGAACCATATTGGATGCTGGGAATCGAACTAGGGTCGGCCGCGTGCAAGGTAAACGCCCTACCCTCCGTGCTATCACTCCAGCCCCTCATTCAGGGTATTGACAAAGAAGTCCGACCATCTCGCCCTTCCTTTTTTATAAAAGACGCCAGCTAGGGGGAGCATTGACTGGACCCCTCCAGGATATCAAGAAGACCTCTGTTTTGCCGAGGGGAGGAGAGTAAACAGAGCCCGTTTCCCCTGCTCATTCTACTAGCGGAGGGGAGCTGCGGAAAAGGGCCAGGCTAGGCAGAGGAAACCTCCATGCAGGCCCAGTGTACTCCACAGGGAGTTGGAAGCAGCCATGCGGCCTCCTTTGCAGTGCTTTTCCAGACACCTGGTGGCTGAACAAAAATGGAATAGGATAAAGTCCGACTCTTTCGTACCCAGAGTGTCAGATCAGAGAGGGGCGGGAGAGCTCGCCATAAACAACTCAAGGTTGGGTCCAACCACCCACGACCCGTGAACCATCCTCTGCTGCAGCAGATTTTGTGGTCGCATGGTCCAGGGAAGCACCTTTCATTGCCAGGCGGTGGTAATGCACTTGTATGAAGTCGGCAGATAAAGAAGCTATGTGTTGTGTAACAAAAGCGATAATCCGGTTAAAAATGCAGGGGCCCACAATAGCAATCAAGAAAAGGGCAGTCAGGGGACCCAACAGTGGCAACAAGTAAGGGAGTAGAGAGTGCCGGGCCCACCGAGAGCTAGAAGACCCACGTCCCGGTTGTCTCTGCTCCAAACCTTTCCTTAGTTCTTCACATGCAGTTTTTAATCACTCCACTGTGGTTAAAAGCAACACTCCTCCCCCAAGGCAGCACACAAACCCCCTCTTTCATAAAGAGCAAGTCCAGTCCCCGGTGGTTTTGAAGAGCAACCTCCGAAAGAAACGTCAGCGAATCCTTGGGGTGAAAGATGAGTTGTTCAAGGCGCTCTAAGTCGGCATCCATGGCGGCACAAAGTGTAGCTAGACCGGAGTGCTGAGAAGCCAGGGTGATGATGCCTGTACCGGCACCCGCAAGGCCAAGGGTGAACAGGGTGGGATGGTAATGGCGGAGACAGGCGGAATTGGCAGGCTGAGGCAATATCACGCAGGGACCAGTAATCATAAAGGGTGGAAGTTGGGTGGTACAAAATACGGGGGACCACCTGGAAGTGCTGACCTTATCTTAATCTCACTTAACATGAGAAAACTGTACTCTGCAGTGCTTCCATAGATATTCAAAAAGCCTTAAAAATGCTCACAATTCAAGCTCTTACAAGGTATATTCACTGGGCAAAAGATCACTTTACATTAGAAGTTAACCAGAAGACATCTTAAAATTCTGATTTCCAGGAAAGCACAAATACAAAAAGATTAAAGCGCTCATAGATTGTTATGAAACATTAAGTATTTCACACTCGTGTGCAAAGCTTTCTGAAGAACAGGGCCAAGTTGATACCTGGTGACAAGGCTTTGCATGAAATAAAGTTATCAAAATAGTAGCATGTACTTTCAAGCCCTGCACAGGCTGATTACCAATATAGTTAGTAAAATTTCCCACATTTTCCATGAAATTCTCCATACTCCGAAGCCATTACAGAAGGCTGACATCTGAGATTAACCCACTTTATAACTCTTAGTAGTTCTAGAAATTTTAGTTACCAGGAGTCTCAGAGATCAGATAGAGCACTGGTAGGGCAAGTTTTGAAACCAATTTTATAACTCTAGAAACTCATGTTTAAACTAAACCATTACTTTTTGAGCCTGTTTTCATGTGTCATAGTTATTTTAACTCACAAGATTTTCTAGGTCAAATATTCTAATCCAATACAAATACAAATATATACAGTAACATAACAGCATAAGACCTATGAACAATCAATTTTTATTTTTCATTTCATTTCATCATCCTGTTATTCGTCGATTGCCTCGAGCAGGCCCCAGTAACGTCTCTTTCATCCTAACCCTGAGATTATATTCAAGGCTCTTTAGGAGAATGAGACCCATCATTGTTACTGGTATTTGGCATATTTGGTACGCCACGGGGAGTTTGCCAGACTCTGCCCTGTGGGCAGGCTACATTCGATAGCCTGCAAGTTTGTCCAAAGTAGGAATGAGATAATAAGATGTCATAAAAGATGTCTGATAAGATGTCGCGCGGCCGCGAATGCTGGATTCCGGGAGCTGGATTTTATAGTCTCTGAGTCTTGGCCGTTGATGGGATTACACGGCGCCAGGGGGCCAGGTGGTGGGTGTGACCCCCGCCTACTGGAATTTGGAGGATCTGGGTGGAGGATGCTCGACTCCAATTCGAGTAGGCTGGGAGATCTCGGCCCCGGAACCCGCGTGAATCTGTCCCTCTGCCAGTACCTTCAGGTGTGCAGAGAGTGGTCTCAGCATGGTGGTGGCTGGTCCTGGAGGTCTTCAGCTGCCTGAGCCCTGGTTGGGGCAGGGAGGAAAGCTCAACCCGCTCCCCTCCAACGAGCCCCGGCGAGGAACAGCCAGGCGTGGGGGCAGACTGCACTGTTCTCGTCCGGGAGCTGGATTTTATATTAAAAAATATATGTTTTTATAAAACATGATAAAACCTTCTTTGGCTTAATTTCAATAATTCTTATACCTAACTTATT